TAGACATGCCTACTATTACTTTCAGTGTACTATAGTGCTATAGTTAAAGTCTTTTATGGCTAAGCGTATTTTTTTCTCCAACAGAGAAATCAATTTCTCATAGACTACAAGGTCATCTTTACTACTTGAATAATCAAGTTTGACTCACTTTCAAGAAATGTCCCTAGGGTTTCTTTTCAATGACATCTTAACATTGCTTATTAGATTTTTTTTTAAACAGAAGTTTTCATTATTACGTTTCCTTGTAATCAACCTTCATGTAAGTTTGTGTGTGTTTCTTATATAAGAATTTCCTTATATACCTTGTGATTATTAACATCTGTTCCTATAGTTTCATTAACAGTGTTTAAAGCTTAGCTTTTATCATAACTTTTTAGCAGTTCTATTTCCATAATTACTGTATAATTCATATATTACACAATACAATTCAATAGTTCAGTCATGTTAAAAAGAGTTGTACAACCACCACCACAACCAATTTTAGAACATTTTCTTCTTTCTTGTCCTCATTGTTGTTAGCTCCCCATCCCCTTGCCCAACCCATCCCTGCCCCTGGGAAACTACTAATGCAGTTACTGTCTCTACAGATTTACCTATTCTGGATTTCCTATACAGAAAAATATGCAATGGTAAAAGCAACACAGAGAAAACCCCCAATAAAAAAAGAAAGCAGGAAGTATTAAAAACTGGAACTAATTTGAGAGGGTCAACAGGTAGATAAAAATGATAAGGTATTATATTTTTTTCAAGACAAAATTTCATTTATTTGTAATTAGAAATAAATATTTCACAATATATAATTACATATTGTTTTGTGATGAAATCACTACGCTTTAATTATGTTCAATTTGTAACAATGAAAATACACATCAGATATTTACATGACGACTCATAACAGTAGCAAAATTATAGTTATGAAGTAGCAACGACAATAATTTTATGGTTGGGGGGTCACCACACATGAGGAGCTGTATTAAAGTGTTGCAGCATTAGGAAGGTTGAGAACCACTGCTCTAGAGAACCCTGTCTAACATATACGGTCACATGGTCTTAAGTCCTACCTTAACCAAGAGGGTCAGAGGGCCTTCAACCCATCTTGTAAGGTTTTCTAATCTACAATAGTGTATCTATAACCTAAGTTACTTTACTTAATGCAGTTAGAAAGTCCCCTTTGTAGTTAGCCTAAGATACTTTACTTCATGTCGTCTCTATGGGATTTCGGGAGCTCTGGTGGTTTAGCGGGGGTTTTTTGTTTTGTTTTGTTTTCTGTTTTTTTAAAAATAATTTTAATGAGAGCTCTTACAATGCTTAACAGAAAATAACCGTCTAGAAGAGAATGATGGCAACATATGTACAAATATGCCTGATACAATTGATGTATGGATTGTAATAAGGCATTATATTTCAACCTAACTCAAAAACCAAGACCAATCTCACTGCTGTCAAGTTGACGCCAACGCATAGCGACCCTATAACACAGGGTAGAACAGTCCCCGTGGGTGTACGAGACTGTAACTCTTTACAGAGTGAAAGACTCGTCTTTCTCCCTCAGAGCAGGGGCGGATTTAACCTACCTGTGTCATCAGAAGCCACTTCACAATGCACTCTGTCTGATAACAAGGCTATTCACATCCCTGGACCACAGTCAAAGGGGATTCACCAGGAGCTTAATCCACGTGGGACCCTGGACATAGATTTGGGCTTCCACCATCATCAACAGTGTTCATAGCTTCTGCAAACCAGGTGTTTACCATTGAAGCTCTGATGGCATTCCCTCCTTCAGATTTAGATTTCACTATTGATAATCCTTGGATTACACAAGCTGGTGTTTCCACCCTGTGGCTTTAGTTGATGCTTTGTTTCGATGGCTGCTTTCTTGAACAGTAGCCTTAAGACCCCAGATGCTATTCTTTCTGAGATCCAGGCACTACCTGAGCGCTTTGTCACACTTTGCTATAGCAACCATATCTTCACTGATCTCCATGAGGACAAGTAGGGCCCTGTCATAAGAACTAATCGTTCTTAAATTAGTGCTACAATTATATACAAGCTCAAAATTCATATATGTCCCTGGTTCGCTTTAAAGACATCTTTATCATTTTATTGGAGAAAATGTCTATAGCTCATAATAAAGATAAAAGGTGAGTCTATATAGAGGACCTTCTTTTAATTAACTATTCTCTCTTATTAGGTACATACAATTAATTTATAGAGCAATTTCAGCTTCCTTATCATTAGTGATAATGATCACAGTATCTTTTGCCTTCCATGGCAGTTCTACTTCAAAGAGAATTACACATAGAGATCAAAGCGAGATCAGAAATTGATATAAAGAGAAAAAACTACAGTATCACTTTATAAAAATATATCTTATTATTCAGATTTCTAGAGCCTGCGGCAGATCTCTAAGAGGCTATGGGTTTACACTGCGAATTTCAGTGATTCTGTTGCCCTCATGGCTGAGATTCCACCTGAATAAATAAAACCTAGCTAGCATTTGTGTCCCAAGAAAACAACCCATCCCCTGCTCCATGTGAAAGAAGCAGAAAGAAAGTGGAAAGCTAGCTTTTAAAAGGCACTGCTAACCCAGAAAATGAGAAATGTCAAAAATGTTAAACTGAACACTGGATGTGTCATGATTATTTTCCCTTGAAATTTGTCCGTTCATTGGTGTTCTCTTGGCACCTCAAAAATACCAAATTCAAATGAATGTGCAAGGGCCTTCCCGTCTGTGGGAACAATGTGAGTGGAAGCACAGGCTGGTCCTAGATGTTCACTGATGGGACAGGGTTCAGTATGGCTGGGGCACGGGCTTGGAGGGAGAGCTGCTGTGAAACCAATGGTAAGCACAAAGGCTCGAGAGACCGCCAGGGATAAGACTAAGGAGCCCTTGAGAAGAACTTCGTAAAACAAGTCGATTTTTCATCCTGTAGCCAAGAGGAAGTTGGTCATAATGTTTAAGCCCAGAGAAAATATGCTCATAATCATGTATCAGTTGATGATGGGTAGGACTGATTGGCAGGCGATAGGCACTTAATAACAGGGTGCTCTAAGAAGCACCTCTGCCAACCCATAGTTGTCGCTAACTTATGCCAGTTTTCTAAACAAAATGGATTGGCACCTGGGCTGAAACAATGGGTTCAAACATAATATCAATTATAAGGACAGCACCACACTGGGCGGCACTTTGTTCTGTTGTTCACAGAGTTCCCATAGCAACTCCATAGCACCTACCAACAACTTTTCTGAAAGCCTGAAAGTGGTTTGGATGTCAGGCATCCTGACTGCATCAGGAAAGGACTAGGAGAATCTCTCATAAAAATGCTATCAACACCCAATCTCGCACAAAATGCAGGAGAGCAGACCTGCTTACTCGTTCATACACATAGAGACATGGAGTGTTACTTTCTTAGGAACAAGCTTCAAGATTCTCCTACAGTCACTTCTTTCTCTCACCTCACTTGGTGCCCTGAAAGCAGCCTTCGCTGACCAGGAGGTCTCCATTGCACCAGGTGCTGGGTGTCGGGGAGTGCAACAGTAGGGTTGTGAGTTCATGTGTGTGCACTACTAGACTGTTCCAGACCAGAGCTCTGGAACACTCCCTTAGGCCACCACAGCCTACCATCAACACTATGGTATTTACAGCAGGGCTTCCCTGATGCCATGTGTTCTAGCCTATGATGTAGAAAGAAAACTGATGGAAATGTCAGAAATGATCATCTATTGTCCAAACCCCAGAACTAGCATTTTCTGCACTTCCTTAAATATGAGGGTCATGGCAGGAATTGCCCGATACTGGCAAGAGGAAGCATTCATCAGCAATTGTATTTTCTCTCTCATCTATAGTTGTTTAGATTTCACAGGAGTCAATTTCAAAATGTTGGACTGGAGGAAGGAGCTTCTTTTTCTAACTCACAAATTAGGGCTGCAAGCAGCTCTCTAGGAAACTACTGCAGTGCTGAAGAGACAAGAGCCCAGTGGAGATAGAAAAGAGAAAATGGCCTATTAGAGGTAGTAAACAGAAGGATTGGGCAGGATTCTCGGTGGCTAATAGGAAATAGGAGGCAGAGAGTGAAATGAGGACACGAGTTTTCTGGTTTGAGAGTTTAATATGTAGACCGACCTCTGGTACATGTTTAGCAAGCAGTTGACCTAGGGGTATGGTGCTCATTTAAGCAGTAAACGAAATGAAAATGGATGTGTTAGCCTGGGCTTGGAATTAGCTATGGACATTGAAAGGTGATTAGAAATGAAGAATGATATTAGAAACTAAGGAAGTTGGTAAATAATTCTAGAGGTTTCATATCAGGTCAAGTAAGATGAGGAGTTCAGTGAGTTTATTGTACTGCATGACTATAAATTACTATTGGTATTTCCCGGAGTCATTTTATGAGCACTAAAGGCTTACAGTGGTCTGAGAACATCTAGGAGCAAAGAAAGTGGGGACAATGTGGCAGGTGAATCTCTTCAAGAACTCACTTTTGGAAGGAAAGGCAGGATTTAGTACCTTCAGAAATGAGGGCACAGTTACAATTGTGTTTTGTTTTTGTTTGGTTTTTTGTTGTTTCTAAACAGAAAGAGGAAGAATTGATTTAAAAAGAGTGGTTTTCAAATACAGCTGAAGATCAAGAGGTAAAGACTTACATCCAAGTTGACTCGCTAACAATTACCAAGAAAATGATGCAGTAGAAAGAGTACTGGTCTTGGTATTAGAAAAACGGGAATTTGGCCTCGACTTTCATTCTAAGTATACTTCATCGGGTTATTTTATTTCATTGGTCTTTACTGTCCATTCCTGTGAAATGGGCCTGGTAATATCTGCATTTCAGTGTGTTGAAAGACTGGGTGAGAATCCCTGGGGTAGAGGGCTTGGTCTATGATTAGTAAATGGTGATTTGAACCATTATCTTATCAAAGGTCTAATAGGACCATGAATGTTATCATGTAAACCTGCTTTCGTTACCATGTTTTGTTCATATAATTTCTATTCCTCTCTTTAGGAATTTGGTGACAGGCTCTGTTAGTCTGTTCCTCCCTTGAGGGCAGGCCAAAGAACCAGTTCGGAAATGCGAGAGGAAGACTAGTGGGCAGCCTTGGCTCCATCCATTGATCCCTGTCAGAGGCACGGAAACAGGATTCATGAAGATGTTGACAAGACTCCAAATACTTACCCTAGTGCTATTTTCAAGGGGATTTTTTCTCTCTCTAGGGGACCATAACTTTATGAGAAAGGAAATTAAAATAGAAGGCGACCTGGTTTTAGGGGGCCTATTTCCTATTAATGAAAAAGGCACTGGAACTGAAGAATGTGGGCGAATCAATGAAGACCGTGGTATCCAACGCCTGGAAGCTATGTTGTTCGCTATTGATGAAATCAACAAGGACAACTACTTGTTGCCAGGAGTGAAGTTGGGGGTTCACATTTTGGATACATGTTCAAGGGATACCTATGCATTAGAGCAATCTCTGGAATTTGTCAGGGCATCTTTGACGAAAGTGGATGAAGCTGAATACATGTGTCCTGATGGATCCTACGCCATCCAAGAAAATATGCCACTACTCATTGCCGGAGTCATCGGTGGCTCTTACAGCAGTGTTTCCATCCAGGTAAATTTGGCCAATACTATGTTTAATACACTGTGTGCTTCTTTGCTGTTCTATCTTAAATGAATGAAAAGAGACTATCACAATAATTTTACCAACCGATGATATTAAGATAGCTACTCTGTTGGGTAAGCGATAGACTGCTAACTGCCAGAGTGGCAGCTCAAACACACAAGCTGCTCAGTGGGACAAAGAGCAGTAAATACTCACAGCCTCAGAAATCCTGTGTAGGGTCTGTATGAGTTGGAAATGACTTGATACCCATGCTTTTGTTCGATAGTCTTGCATGGAACATTGCTTTAGCTGTGGCATTTTGCTAGAACCTTATCACTTAGATACTACAGTATAACCACTCCAAAGCATAATAGCTTCAAATTACATGTATTAAAGGTTACCAGTCTGCAGGTAATCTGGAGGGAAATGATTGAGAATAAGTTAAGTGGGGATGGTTCTGCTTACTCCAGACTTCCTGTTATCCTCCTGAAATCAATGGACTAGCCCAGGCCTATTTTCAGAGGCTGGCAAAGATGCAGGAGAGTGCAAATTCGACTGCAGAGAACCTTTCCTAGCTTCCACTTGCATTAACTCTGCTAACCTCTCATTGGCCCAAGCAACTGACCATGCTTAGCTCAGAATCATGGGAGAGGAGATTTATCCTACAGTTTGAATGCTGCCAAATTACATGACACAGATAAAAAGCAGAGTGATAATTAGAAGTCATTGGTACAATCAACCTCAATCACTGAACTCTATTTTGTTCTGACCTCATTTTGATTAAAACATATTTTTGTTCACATATAAATTACAACAATTTCTCATGATACAAATCTGAAAGTGCATGCAGAGAAGGAAAACAATTACTACAAAAGAGAAAAAAAGACACCACTTGGCAGAAAACATAAGCTAGATAAAAACAAAGCAATGGCTCTTGTAATTTTGTTCGTCAAAGAAGGAACTGGTTATTTATTCACACTTTCTTATAATGCTCACTTACAGGTCACGGAATTTCAAGAAGAGAAAAGAAATGGGAAATCATTTGGTTTAGCCTTCAGATTTTCCTGTTCCCTAAACAGATTGGCTTTAAGAAAAATCTCTTTAGTAGATAGTACAAGGACTATAACTCATGGAGGTCTTTTGTGCTTTTTTGCCTACCTCATATGATTTCTATGTGTTGGTTCAAGGTCAATCACTTTTTCTAGTAGTGCACCACAATGCCAGCGATAAAAGCCCACGCTCCCTCTGACGCCTACTGTGTCACTACAAGAAAAGTCCCAAACACTAAGGAAACCATATTATTTTGGTGTTTTCTTTATGTCGAAAACCACTTAAATTTGTCCTGTTTGCATTGGAAAAAAACATTTCTTTATCTTATATGCAGAGCGTTTAAAATTGCATGTGCAAATCTTTGCTATTCTAAATGAGCAGTTTCAAATTTATTTCCTCCTTCAGAGCATACGCTCATATTTTCAGTAATTAAGATAATTGGTTTTTCATAAACACCCTTTGCCTTCATTAGATAGATAGACAATATTGCACATCTTAAAGACTATCATGTTAATTATGCCACTATTTTTATACTTGTTTCAGGATAAATGGAAATTTATATTTAAGAAGAGAGAATTATGAATATCTGTCACACTCTGTAATAATTTCAACAGATTAATGCCAATCATTTTACAAATATTCAAACTATTCCAATTACTACCACTGATATATATTTTTTTGAACATATGGACCCTGGTGGTGTTATGGAGTAAACATTGGGCTGCGTACTGAAAGGTTGGCAGTTCAGACCCACCAGCAGCTTTATGGAAGAAAGCTGTCTGCCCCTGTAAAGGTTCACAATCTCATAAACCATAGAGGGTTGCTGTGAGCTTCAGTCAACTAGATGGCAGTGAGACTGGCTCTCTGGCTTGGGTTTGTGCTGATCATGGGATTTCCCAGTGTAGTAAAAGACATGCAACCACAGATTTGAAACTACATATTTATCCATTAGGCCTGGGTGACTCAGTTTGTGCTCAACTACCAATTTAAAGCTTGGCAGTTCAAACATCCCTACTGGAGCCAGGGATCAGCTCCTGCTGGTCTGCTTCTGTAAAGATCACAACCAAGGAAATCCTCCTCTGCTCTAGCACCTGGGTTGTGATAGTGGAAATCTACCTGACAGCCACAGGTTTATCCAAAGTAGGTAACAAATTATGCCAGGCCAATAGATTCTATTAATCTAATTTTACTCTGCTACTAACTGTGCACTCTTCAGAAGAGATTGGATTGCTTTAAAAGAAAATAAAATGTGGGCTATTAAAACTCTATTTTTCATAAGGGAAGAATCTACTTCTTAATCATCAAGAGATCTTGTTTATGAGTACATTTACTTGGTCACATCATTATAAAATCACAAATGGGGATCTGGTTTTAAATTTCTATAGTATAAATAAAGAAAACAATCAGACAGTACCAAAAGAATGCAAGTTTTAGCATCCAAAAAAGTCTGTTTTTTAATTCTACCTCTACTACTTATCCATGAGAGAAGAAAGGATGTTCAAATAATTGTTGAGAGGATAGAGTGAGAGAATTGGTTGGAAATTCCTCTCAAAAGACAACTGATGGGCTCAAGAAACAGTAACAATTATGTCCTCAAAATTATAGGAAAAGTCAGTAGCTAATCCCCACCTAAAACTAACATCGTAAAAATTCCAGTATCTGAACTGACATGTCTATTGAACTCATTCCTGAATCCACGAGGTCTCAATCCGCAGGCCATTCTATTTTGAGCTCCTGCTATGTGCTCTATAAGGAAACAAGCTTTAGAGATAACTTGAAATTAATAGAGACTATAGCATTGTCAACCAGATTTAATATCGGGCTGTGGATACAATGTTACTACAAAATAACTGATTAAAATACAGAATATGCTTGAGTGGCTCATAAGGTAAGAAATAACACTTTGGGAAAGGTTTGAGGATGGATGGTAGAGGGAAGATGCACTGGAAGAAGGCCTAACTGAGCCAGCGGATGAACGAGGGTACTACAGAAGAAAGAGGTGGGATCCGAGGAGGGCGGTGAGGGAGGTATGGCACAGGCTCATGTACAAGAAGACAAAAACCTTGATAGGAATAAGGAGGTGAACTAGACAAGAAGAGACAGGGGAGACTCCACCCGCTCCTCCGTGATCCCCATATTTCTTGACTGCTCAGGCTGTAGTCACATATTGGCCCAGAACACAGTAATGCAGGTAGTGGGCAATGTATCTCTCACACACAACCCGGCACCCTGCCACGGTCATTCTTCATGTGGCCTTGCTTAAATTAGGCATAATGAATGAGAAGAGGTATATCAAAGAATGATGGAACATAACACCTTCAAAAACATCTTTTAATGAGAATTCAGAGATTGGGGATGAATCTTTAGCAATCTTTAATACTTTAGCAAAGTAATAAATTCTTAGTGGTGAATCTATGACATCTGAGCACTCAAAAGAAGGTAACATTTCAGGAGAGATTTTCCTGGCTGCCTTTCCTACTTTACCTATTCTTACTTCTGTAATTTTGGTCCTACACCGAGGGATCTGACAGCCCAGATGCAAGTCAGACACCACAGCACTCCATTTTTTACTGTTTCTGACTTCCTGAATATTTTCTGGGAAGGATCTTTACTTGAACTGAGCAGGAGGGAAAGGTGACGCTGTGGAAGAAATGTAGTAACATGAATCCACCACTCCGGGTTTTCAAATCCCTGGTCTCTCAGTCCCTAGCTAAAGTCGCAAGTTTTCAGGCACAGAATTACCTGTTGTGAGAGGGAAGTTTAAAGAATGATTATACTCATTCATCCTCTTTTTAATGTTCAGGTCAGTTTAGACATAATCTCTCCCACGTGGGCCTGGCATGCTTTATTAGTCCAATTGCTTCACCAAGCGCTTTCTCTTGAGCTTCCTCTTATTTCATTCTCCTCCCACTGAAGGAGAAGAATTCTCCAGGAAGTCAGCAAAGGAGACCTCCCCTGCTGTGTGAGTTCTTACAATAGTCAGTGTTTGCAGGTGGTGAAAACTGCATGATATGGAGAATTCTTAATGATTTGCTGGGTTAAGCTGTATCGCTGTTGATGAAGACCTGGATAATTATTTTCCCAGTGTTCTTATTAAGAAGACAAACCACTCTGTGGTGGCCCCTTTCATAAAGCAACAGTATTGATTTCTTAATTCAGTAATCAATGAAAGCCAGTATCAAAACCCTACGTTATTAGCAAATATTCATGGGGTCTTGTCAAACCCTTTGCCAAATTTATTCTCAAAGCATATTCAAGGCTGCCTTCTGCTTTCCCTGTAAATCTGAAATCCCCTCACTTCAGAGAAAATAGCCCGTGTTTATGAGCAAAGAGAATCTGGTTGGTTGTCTGTAGCTAGCCAATTGTCTACATACTTGGTTTGCAGCAGACTTTGTGCTTGTGCTTTTCAAACAGTCTGTCATGACAGCTCCTGAGTTATCTGCCAAAAAATGTTCTTTGAACGCTCTTCAGAGGATGGCTCATTTCCTCAGTCTTTCTGCCCCAGCTGGAGGGAAACTCAGGTGCAAGCGGCTAGTTAGAAGTAGACTCACTTAGTGTTTAGCCCCTGAATGTGACCCCTGCAACAAATGGAGATTTTGTTGAGATGATACCTAAAAATTGGACTCATAGAAATAGCAGAAGGGAGACTTCGGAAGGTCCTACTAACTCGTTCACATCCCAAGTATAAGCAGACCATTTTTCAAGATTTCTAACAATATCCACATCCCAGCAGTCTCTAAGATTAACACAGTTTATCATGACATGGATTTAGACATGCTAAGTATTGCTCACCTGAGAGGAATAAATCTTTCAATTAAACCCTTTGCTGTACATTTAACTGATTTTCTGTACATGGTACACATTAAGACACACCACTTATCTTACCTCCTCATAAATTTCCCAATGCTAACGTGGCCAGCCAATGGCTCATTTGTAGTAAGCATTGCCCATCCCCCTGC